GAGATAAAATCAATTAAAATACAATATAAAAACAATCTTAATAATAAATAAATTCCAAGAACGATGGAGAATTGGCAAATAACTCAGGGAGTGTCATCCGGGTGCCAGCCACCCCCACGATTGATTACAGCTCTTGTCGCCCCATGCAAGCTGACAGAGCCAGGTCTTAAGTCCTTTCCGGAAAGCCGGGAGGGTTGGGCCCCACTGCACATCTGGGGGGAGAATATTCCAAAGGGTAGGGGCAACCCGCTGACAGGGTCTGCAACAGTTTGCCTCACCAAGATGCCCAGCATAGGTCCGTGAGTATTGCTGAGAATTAATAAGTAAAATATTGTACTATATCTGGTGTTCAGTGATAGACAGCCTCTGAACTTGGAGGCTCAAACCAGGCAGCATGTGGTTTGCATGCAACCCCCCCAAAGAATCTCCAGTTTAAGGGATTGGAGGCAAGGGGAGAGAGGAAGCCTCAGGACTGTTACCAAAAGACTAGGCAACTTCATGGCTGGGTTCAGACGACATATTAAACTGTAAATCCAGATCAACAAGTCATATAATACATAATGCCCAGACAAAACTTAGGATGGCTTTACACAGCATGCTGAGATCAGAATGGTGTTTCTACGGTACCTTGAACCTTAAGCTATACAACTTGTTTGAGTCAATCTAGCATTTTGCACCTTTAGCAAGTGTCCTTCTAACAGCAAATTCAAGTGGAGTCGGCCAACATGATTACAGCCCAAGTGAAACAGGCCTGAGGTCCTGATATGCTTGACAGAACCTGAGATTTGCAGAAAGAGAAACCTGAGTCAAAGATTCCTCTCCCTTTCAAAACCCATCCTCCACAACTCAGTATGGGTTGAGTAGTCACAGAATGATGGGTGGGGGAGGGGAGGCAAGGAGAGGGAGACGGAAAGAGGGAAGGAAAAGACTCAGATAATAGAATAGGATTTAAGGAGTCAGATAATAGAAAGGAAAGGAAAGGAGTGAAATCATATTAAAGGGTAAAGTAGGGCAGGATAAGGATACGCAGAACTGACTGGCTGGAAAAATGAATAGGAGGACCCCACATGGCAACATTTTATTGCATCTCCCACTTGTCTTGACCGCTGCTGGAATCTACTGTCCTCCATAAATGTGTCTCACCTATTCCCCAAAAGCCCTCTAAGTGGCATTCCCTGTGACAGGGAGTTCTGCCAGTGGATTGAGCCTTATGGGTCAGCCCTTTGAGGTAGACCCGGTCAGGGAACAGACCCCACAAGAAATACTAGACTTTGCTGATAGAGGCTGCAATAACAGAATATGGAAAGCCTGACAGTGCCTCCCCTCCCCTCCCTTTTATACCAAAGAGAGTCAAGGAGGGGCAATCTTGAGTTTCTTTCTCACGCCTTCCTGTTTTCCTGGGGTAAATTCATGCTTTGCTAATGGTTGTTGCCTGTTTTCTTCAAGGCCATCTCTGTACCCCTCATGACTGTGGGACAAAGGCCTTCCTTCCATCTGTTCTGACCACTCACTTACGATGTAACTCATTTCTTCTTCCATGTTCAAACTCGGCTATTGCAAACAGGGTGACATTGCACAAGCCTGTTGTCCTGAGGTAGTATTTATTGATTTATTGATTCTCATGGGGCGCTGGCTTAGTTCCCAGGATTTAGCAAACAAAACCTGGGGAGTTCTAAGGGTAACAGCACAGTTATCTGGAGATCTTTAGGTTGAACAGACCTAAAGCAAGAAAGGTGACAGGGTGGAGAATTCATGGAACTTGAAAAATGAAGCCTGAACCACAGTCTTGCCACCTGGGTGATATTTGTAGCTTCAGTTGCATGGTGGGCTTCTTCCACCATCTTGTCTTTTTTGACAGACACATTCAAGTCTGAGGTTTGGCATGTTGTATGAGCTCTTTTGAGCATGAAACTGAGCCAACTCAGGGAGGCAGTGAAGGACAGGAAGGCCTGGCACAATATGGTCCATGGGGTCACGAAGAGTCGGACACGACTTAACGACTGAACAAAAACAAAAATTTGCTCTTTGGTGCCATGTAGACCTTAACAAGAATAGTTAAGAGAGACCATGGCTTAACAGAATCTAGGAACCCAGATTTTCCTTTGGTTTTCTTCCTCTCTTGCTTCCTCTGCTCAAGCAGACTGGCCAAGGAAGATCAACTGGAAGAGGTGGGCTCTTGAAATCGGGCAAAAGGATGATTTGA